GGCTAATCCTTTGGAAAATGTTTGTGAAAAGCTAACACACATACACATGGTGGTGTACACTTGATGGTGTTGGCACATTTACAAAGGAGATGAAGTTGGAGTTGATGTGGATTAACTTGGAGATGAAACGGAGGCGAGAAGGGTTTGGAACTTCACCGGCGGAGTGTCCACCCGTAGAGTGCGGACAATCCGACGGTGCCACTGGCGCCCTATACAGAAAAGACAGGGTTTCGCAGAACTGATCAGACACTGGCCTCGGTAGGATTGGCGCGTCCGGTCGGTGGAAGCAGTGAGTGCGCGGTCTCGGTCTCGTGAACGGACGTTGGCGTAAAGCGTGACCGGATGCTCAGGGTCTGCGTCCGGTCAGTGCTGACGTATGGTGATGTAGGCAGCGCTGGAGTTAGGAGCGCGGGCACAGAACTGATTGGACGCTGGTCTGCGTCCGGTCATGGTGAACCGAACGCGTCCGGTCGCAAAATAGAGGCTCAGGGAGCTCTCTGGAAACGACCGGACTTAGGCGCAGCAGCGTCTGGTCATTCACTGTGCAGCGTCTGGTCGCAACTTGACCATTGGGATCGGACGCTCAGTATTTGAAGAGAGGGATGACGTGGCAGCCATCCGTTGACCGGACGCTGGCACGGTGCGTTCGGTCGATCTAACCGGAGCGTCCGGTCACCCCGAGCTGTGCCCAGTGAAGGGGTACAACTGCTCTATTTTCATGGGGGGCTATAAATAGAAGGTGGTTTCAGGCATGGTCGTTGCTGAGCACCTTGAGGACTTTGTGTCCATGCTTGAGAGTGCTTAGGGAGCCCTCTAACTCACATATGCTTGATAGTGATCATCCGATTGTGTGAGTGAGTGATTCTAGTGCGATTGCATCGTGAGGTTGCATCAAGTGGCACTAGGTGGTCGTCTTGCAAGCCGGTGGTGCTTGTTACTCTTGGAGGTTGCCACCTCCTAGACGGCTTGGTGGTGGTCTCCGTCGAAGCCCGCAAGAAGCTTGTGCGGTGCTCCGGAGAAGAACTTTGTGAGGGGTATTGTGCTCGCCCAGCGGGAGCCACGAAGAGAAACTCTAGTAAAGCATGTCATTGAGCTACCCTCACTTTCGGGGTAGGTTCTTGCGGTGCCCGACGTGCGGGCTTGGCGGGTGATGCCAATTAGCCACCGAACCAGCAAGTGAGCGGTCGACACAACAGCGACTAGTGTGTTGGCAAGCACGTGAACCTTGGGAGAAAAATCATCGTGTCAACCTTGTTCTTCCCGTTGGTTTGCATCCTCGTTACACAAGCTTGTAATTACTTTTATATACATTGTGCTTGTGTAGTTGCTCTTGTGACTAGTTAGCTTGTGTAGCTCACTAGTTACCTTCTTGCTTGTGTAGCATAGAAGTAGCTCCCTTGCGTGGCTAATTTGGTCTGTGTAACCTTGTTAGTCACATTGCTTAGTTTGTGTAGCTAAGTATTTGCGCTCTCTAATTTGGCATTGGTTGCCTTGTTATTGAGCATTGCTAGTGAGCTTAGGTGGCTTTGTGCTTTTGCTTACTAGCATGTGTAGGAGCTCCCTTGTTGCTTGAAGTACTAATGGCATAGGTTTGTGTGACCTTGCTTCTAGAATTGGTTAGGTGAGCTCTAGCTAGCCCAGCACCGTTGTTGCTTAATTAGTATCTTTGGAAAGTGCTAGAGAACATAGATAGAGAGGTGTAGTCTTGGCTAGACCGATAGTTTTAATTCTGCACGTGTTTCGGTTAGCCGACGCGATTAATTTTAGAAAGGACTATTCACCCCCCTCTAGTTCGCCATCTCGACCTTACAACGCGCTAATAGGCATCACACGTCTAACCCACAACCAGGTGCCGCACAACCAACACAAGATGAGGATCCACGAGCCACGCACAATCCACAAGAGTTGCCTTTGGCGCTCCGTCGAGGAAGGCACAAGAGCCCCTCACAATCACAATGATCGGAGCCGAAGAAAATCACCTTCCTCTTCTCAACAATCTACCAATCACCGGGCCGTCTAGGTGTCGACAAACACCAAGAGTAACAAGATCTCTACCAGCCCAAATCGCCCAACTAGTGCCACAAGATGCTAGAACACTAAGCAATGCACTAGAGGCTCTCCAATCTCACTCAAGATGATGAAATCAAGTGTGCAAGTGAGTGGAGTGGTGTGCTCAGCTCTCAAAGGGTGTATGCAGCTGTTAGAAGTGCCAAGAGAGTGACCAAGGCCAGGCACCATCTCTATTTATAAGCCCACAAGCAAACAGAGTCGTTACCCCTTTGAGTCAGCTTCTGCGGGAGCACCGGACACGGCGGTGCGGTCACTAGACATGGGGTGGCGGTGCCAACGGTCATCCAATGGCTAGTTGGGGCACCAGACAGGCAGCGGTGGCATCGGACAGGGGGTGGCGTTGCCCGCGGTGGTGCACTCCGCTGGTTGCCCTGCTCTCTGTTGAAAAGAGGCGGTGCCACTGCACAGGACGATGATGACCCCGGCGGTGCACTGTCGTGTCTGGGGCGGTGCACACTGTCACTGACGGTGCCAGCCTCTCACTTCACTGCTCTTCGCCGAGCCTAGGTGGGCACCGCCCTAGGGGTGGTGGTGCCACCGGACAAGGGGTGGCGGTGCGCCCCTCAGGGCAACACCCAACTTGCCCCTCTCGGCCTCTAGCCAGTCACCGCCCTAGGGGTGGTGGTGCACCGGACAGGGGGTGACGGTGCCCCCAGAGGCAACACCTCATCCCCTTCTTCGCCTCCTTTGCTACCTTTGCAAATGTGCTAGCACTTCAAGTGTTTCACCATCACGTGCAAGTGTGTTAGCATTTTTCACAATCATTTTTCAAAGGTTAATCACTTTCTCACCGATTGTACACTAGGCCTAAAATGCATATGCATGTTTTCCAACACCTAGTGGCACTAGATGATCGAGTTGTCCAATAAGAGCCCCCCCCTTAATAGTACGACAATCTATCCTAAATGTGATCACACTCTCTATAGTGTCTCGATCACCGAAAACAAAAAGGCCCTATTGATATCACCTTTGCCTTGAGCCCTTTTTGTTTTTCTCTTTCTTCTTTTCCAAGTCTCGGAGCTTGATCATCATCACATGTGTACGCACCGTCACCATGATCTTCATTTCATGTGGCCATTTTCATCCATGAGTGCTACCTAGCTCCTTCACTTGGGTTGGACCAACCTATCTCAATTCCACACTTAGAGCATAGGGTTTCATCAATTTACCAAAACCAAACTAGGGCTTTCACCCGTCCCCCGCCGCGCCGCCAGCATTGAGAAAAAGGGGAGGGGGCGGCATCCACATGCGCCTCTGGTTCGGATGCCTAGCCGACGCCGAGAGAAGGTGAAGACACCTAGGCAAGGTAGTCAAAGGCGAGGAGAGAGCGAGATGCAACACCCGATTTACTTTTGAAACATCCAGATACAGCACTTGCAACATGTTTGAAGGCAGATGAAACACTTGAAACATGCATCCGAAACATTTGTAAAAACACCTGAAAAACACTTAAAACCATGTAAAAATATACACAACATCTAGATAAAACACTTGGAACATATATGTGAAACATATGCAACATCCAAATAAAGGCACTTGCAACATACGTCTCGAAAAATAGCTGAAACATTGGGAACAAAAGCTTGCAACATACGTGCACAACCATTGCAACATATGCAATATCCCGATCTACTTTTTGCAACATGCGTTTTCAGCATGCAATGTCACCTTGCTGCTTGGACGAATCACAGAGCTCGACGCTGGCACGGAGGTCGGCGGTGGCGCATGGAGCTCGCCGGTGCACCCCTAGGCGAGCACTTGCTCGGCGGCCTGGGTGAGCACCTCCGCGAGGCTCGCGAGTACCCTAGGCGAGCATCTGCGCGAGCACCCCTGGGCGAGCACTTGCTCGCGCGGCCTACTTGGGCCAGCACACCCTTGGCGAGCACCTGCTCGACGGCTAAGCGGGCAGCGAGGGCGTCCGCAGCGGCGCGAATGCCGTGGTGTAGGCGAGCGCCGCGGTGGAGCACAGAGTGGGGAAGGCGAGCGGCGTGGTGGAGTCGGGCGCAGAGGTTCGATGGAGTGGTGGATAAGACCACGACGGTGGAGGCCGAGTGCGTAGAGAGATTTTTTTGAAGGGGTGCAGACCGATAAGGTAGCTAGGAAGGCGCGTCCGTCCGTCCCCAGACGCCTGCACGAGAGCATTACCATTTTAATATTTTATTCCGTAGCGCTAAGGGTTGTTTGGACCACATTTTGCATTATTACAAATCTAGATTATGAATCGGATTGTTATAATCTGGATTACTTGGATCTTTGTTATAGGCACTGGATTATTGTCTATTAACCTATAATTTCCTACTAGTAGGTTAGAGATAGATCATAAGATTACAATACTATTGGTTGGAATACTATAATCCAAGATATTATTTTATCTTATTACTATGTTCCAAAAATATGTCCCAAACATATCCTAAGTTTATCCCCAATCAAAATTTGTTTTGTCAAAAATCATGTGGCCTTGGCATGGTTTACATGATGTTTGGGTGTTCCTTTGTCCAATTTACGTCCAAACAAGTGCTTACCAAGGTTTCAGTAACAAGAATGCAAAGAAAAGAGATTCCCCTCTGTCGATGATTTCAGAAGCGATATCACGCAAGAAAATTATACTAATAAAAAGAAAAATATGCGGGGTGATATGAACCCAAGAGCGAGAGCAAGAAAAAGGTTTTGATAGCTCTCACCACCGGATGAATTTTAATCAGAAAAACCACAAGCGAAACCTTGGACACTTTAGCAGGTGCGCTTCTCTTGTTATTTCATATATATTTGTCATCTGTTCCATCGTTTCATGTCACTATGTATATGCGTGAGATATTGGTCAGCAAGAAATTCTAATTTCTATGGACCGGCAACGAACTCTAGCTTACAGTTTACTAGGCCACATACTGGTTTACTTCAATTTGAAGTATCAGAAACTTACTACCAGGCCATCACCCTGAAATTGAAGGGTCAAGGACGCGGCCAACAAAGACGATAGCACGAGACACCTCCTCGATCACAAAGAACACAAACGGGTGGTCAGCAACGAAATCCACCTTCACCGGCTGATCCATCACCGCACTTGCTCCACAGAGCATGTAGCTAGCAGTGGCACCATTGGCAACGGTGCCTCCCTCGTTCACCTCGATCACTGCCTTATGGCAGACGTCCGCAACGTACAGCGGCGTGCCAGCAGTGTCAGCGTCCTCGTCGCGCTTGGCCGCCATGTCGGCCAGGTCAGCTTCGCCGGCAACGAAAGCGGACTTGATCCCCATGCCGTCACTCAGGGCCTCCCTCACGCTACCAGAGGCGAACACCTCGAACTTGGGCAGCCGGAAGTCCCCGACGGGGACCTGCGAGGTCGGCAGGCGGTAGTGCCAGAACCCGGGGCCAGAGGCTACCTTCTCGACGAGCACGAGGGTTGTGCGTGTGTCCACTGAACTTGGATCGAGGATGGAGTCGATGTGATTGTTGGTCGCCGCCGCCAAACAGCCGTTGATCTCGCCTACTGCCTTCTCCGGCTTCACGAACAGACAGAATTAAAATTTTGTTTCAGTAGTGCATTCCATTAATAATGTACAAGAACTGTCAAAGGAATTTGGATGATTTCGATTAGATCCGTATAGTCTGCAATGCATGCAGGTTACAAGATCTCACCTCGTTACCGAAGTCGACGGCGCGCGCCTCGGCGTCGCGGAAGGCCGGCAGGAGCGCCCACGCCGCGTCGAGCCACGCGCCGCACGCGAACGCGACGGCGGGCCCACCGCCCGACAGCGACCGTGACCGGTCCGCGACCGCGCGCTCCGCGGCGCGGCGGGCGAACGCGTCGAGGTCGTCGCGGGAGTCGCCGCCGAGCGCGTCGAGGAGCTCCTGGAGCGTGCCGCCGCGGGCGCCGGCCGCCAGCAGCGCTAGCGCCGCGTAGACGGCCACCGGCGAGAAGAGGAGGTTGGCGGCGGCCGCAGCGGCGCTAGGGCCGCCCGCCGGCTCCCCCGCGACGACGGCGGCGGGCGGCGCTTGTAGTTGTAGTTGCCTGGTGAAGCAGAGCGCGAGCGCCGTTAGGCCGGCGGCGTTGGACTTCTTGGGCACGGTCTTGCCGGATCTCCGTCGCTTTCGCGTCATGGCTAAGTTGAATACTTGATTGGCGACGATGTTTCTCTTTGCCGGATCAGGTCGCAGTCGGATCAATATATGGAAAACGTCTAGTTCTCATACAAATCCAATATCTGCGACTAATAATACCATAAAATAAACTCGTATTTCGTTCCAATTTCCATGCCATCGGCGAAAAATTCTGTGTGGACGCGGAGCCGGCGGAAGGCTCCAGATCACGCGGCCTGGAACCCTGATGCCGTCATGTCGATGCACAGCGCGTGGACACTCACCGACAAGAGACGGTCGTTTGGGTTGTGCTTGTCGTATAGGATCCTAAATTTTTAGTTGGAATAATATTTTTTTCTCATATAAATTAGTCAGCAGTATTTTTTCACGAACTAGCAACGAAACGAACCGGCCAACCGAATAGACCGAAGATATCCAGATGCCGTTAGGCCGGCGGCGTTTGACTTCTTGGGCACGGTCTTTCCTGATCTCCGTCGCTTTCGCGTCATGGCTGGGCTGTTTGGTTGCACCTCCTAAATTTTAGTTGCTCTTTTATCGAATATTTGGACACATACATAGAGTATTAAATATAAATTAATTACAAAACTAATTACATAGTTTATGACTAATTTGCGAGACGAATCTTTTGATTCTAATTAGTACATGATTTGACAATGTTTTGCTACAGTAAATATGTGCTAATGACGGGTTAATTAGGCTTAAAAAATTCGTCTCGTGGAGCACTGACGGATTATGTAATTTATTTTTTTATTAGTATCAGAACACCTCATGCAATATTCTTCCAACACACCTTCTAAATTTTAGTAGCCGGATCAAATACCCCTAAGCTGAATACTTGATTAGCGACGATGTTTCTCTTTGTGTGTGTGTCAGGATCGAGTCGCAGTCGGATCAATATATGGAAAATGTCTAGTTCTCATACAAATCCAATATCTGCGACTAATAATACCATAAAATAAACTCGTATTTCGTTCCAATTTCCGTGCCATCGGCGAAAAATTCTGCGTGGACGCGGAGCCGGCGGAAGGCTCCAGATCACGCGGCCTGGAACCCTGATGCCGTCATGTCGATGCACAGCGCGTGGACACTCACCGAGAAGAGATGGTCGTTTGGTCTGTGCTTGTCGTATACTATTCTAAATTTTTAGTTAAAATAATATTTTTTTCTTAATATTTTTTTTATGAACCAGCAACGAAACGAACCAGTCAACAATGTCTAAGGTGATTGTTCCATATAGTAGTGGCTTTAAGTCCCCATGCATGCTGATTTGGATAGCATATAAGTGGTTTACGCAGATGCTCGAAATCCATTTATGGGGGCAGGCAACATGTCCGCCTTCAAGCAGAGGCTTCCGTTAATCAAAATTTGCAGAGGTGAACAGAGTGCCTGCCTGCATTAATCAAAACTTGTGGAGGCGGACAGTGCCCATCTCCAAAAATAAATTAGAAAAAAACAAAAAAGGGCCCGCTGGTGAGCCCGAACCCACCAATGAAGCTGAAGCTGCCGCTGCCGCATCCCTCGCGCCCGTCGCTGCCAGATCTAGACTCGTCATCGGTGGATTTAGACCCATCGCCATTGGATCTAGAAACACCATTGCCGGATCTGGACCCATCGCCGACAGATCGACAGGCGCAGTCGGACATAGCCACGATGGTGTCCGAGGGAGCGGCGCGATCCGTGCCACCGACGGCCCAGGCAACAGCGCCCGAGGCGGGCCAGATGGAGGGGGACATGGCCGGAGGGTCCCTGGGCGTCATGGCGGTGGTGGAGAGGACCAGCGGGGAGTCGTCGTCGGCCCTGATGTCGAGGGCAGCCGCTCGCCCGCGCGGGGTGAGCCGCTGCTCCAGTGGATGGATCATCAAGACCCAACATCGATTCTCTTCTCGCTCGACGATGCTACCGAGAGCATAGAGCGGGAGAGTCTCAACGGAGGGATCTCGGCTATGATGGAAGTCCTGAACCAGGCCAAGGGTGTCCTGCGTGACGTCATTGTTCCCACTGGCCGGGTATCCGCTTGATTTTTCCTCTCGCTTTCTTCTTCATGTTTTTTCTGTATTTTGGACACTGGTTTTCTTTTCAGTCCCTCATTGCTCGTAGCCGGGAGAAATCTCGGTTCCTCCATGAGAAGAAGGTGGAATGGGACCACCTCACTGAGGAGGCCTGGCTGCGCGGAGATGTGAGACAACGGGAAGCCGAGGCGCGTCGGGACATGGAGGAGGCCCATGGGATGTTCCAGGATATGTCGGCGAGGGTGCGGCAGGACGAGGAGGCGGCCACCAGAGTCCGAAAGGAGCGGGGCGAGCTGCTCCAGAAGGATGTCGAGGCCTGCCAACGGGCCATCGACCTCCTGGCTGAGCTGGAGAGGGAGCAGGATCTCAAGCTGGAAGCCGAGAGGTCCGCGGCCCTACAGCAGAAGGCGAATCTGGATGGCGAGGTGGTTGCCCGACTGCGCAGGGAGCGAGACGAGCTATGCCAGACTGCAGAAAGACTCCGCTCGGAGCATGGCACGGCCCGCAAGGAGCGCGACCAGGCTGTCCGAGAGTGTGACGAGGCGCATCAGGGGGTCAGCTCCCTCTGGGCGGATCTTGGATCCATGGTGGCCCGAAGGTTGGAGGCCGAGAGCATCTCTGCTGGGCTGGGCACGGAGCTCGCCGAGGTGCGGGGGATTCTTCAGGCCGAGAGTGATGAGCATGATCTCCTGTGCGCTGCCGTCGGGGTGGTTTTTGATGACCTGGGGGTGGCGCGGCCGGAGGAAACCGGCTCACTTGCGGCCCATGTCATAGATACTACAGCGCGGGTGTGCCAGCTCGAGGAAAATGCTTTTCACGCAGGGATCACTCAGGACTTTCCTATTGCCTGCTCTCATTATGATCGGGAAATTGACTTGGAGATAATGAGCCTTGGCTTCACGCCTGGCTATGAAGCCTCCGAGCTGGATGAGATTGAGAAGGCTGTGTCTCCCATTGCGCGGAACCTGGCGAACAGGATGAAAGACATAGTTTTCCCCCCGAGGAGGTAGTTAGTCGAACGAGTCTGATAAACATTTATCTATAATCTGTGGACAAGTGTCGGCACTTTTGTCTCTGAAAATAGATTCATAATTTTGTTTCCTAATTTTGTTTCATTTGTCTGAACTTGTTTTCTTCCCTTTTGCATTCGAGAAAAAAGGTTCATGCGATCTGACCCTTCCGTTCGTTAAGACCGTAGGGCCCGAGGTGTATAAGGGGGAACATTCGATTATGCTGGTGAGCAAAGTTACCATAGCCGTCGGGCGTGGGTTTTTTGCAGTCTTACCAGGCATGATCGTTTATCTATTCCCACAAACCTTGCCGGTAACCTTAACGCAAGGAAGAGGTCTGACGCAATGACTGTTTCGAAAAAAGGAGGTATTTATACCTTTACCAGCCCCCAAGTGAGATCCGACCCCTTGCGGTCGCTGGGGCCGGATGTTACTGGAGGCCAAAGCGAGGGTAGCTAACTTACTCTTGTATTCGCACATACCCCTTACTTAGGATTTTAACGATCGTTCCGTGACCGTGCGTTCGGTCTCATTGCTGGCCCGGCCTTCCTCGAGCCCCCGCACGTGGTGGGGATTCGGTCAAGGGTCGGCTCGTTTTGTGACTGCTGCCCCATCCGCGGTTTCCACAACTGGAGGGGTTGAGGCGACATCACTTGCCTCGACGGCTCGAGTGACGTTTTTGATGAGCTCGCTAACGGGGATGTTCGAACGGAATCCGATCCCGTTGCTTCACGATAGGGTCGTCAAAGCCCTCGGGTGGCGTTTCGTTGCTCCTTGATCTGCCTTCCAACAGATTCCCCCTCAATAGGGATTCTATGGGCTCAGCTAAAGGCTGGATTGAACTAGAAGGTTGAGATGACCCAATCCGCCTTTATGCAGTTTGGGCGAAGGCCGCTGAGGTGCATCTGCGTTTTCTCCCCTGGCTCTTGTTCGATGCGAGGCGGCCTTGGACCCTTCGTGGGCCAGCGTTTGAACCTCGGTCTCTCGATCTTGGATCGAGCGGCTCGAGCCCCCGAGCCCCTTGGGGTCTGATAGGGGTCAACCATGTTTCACGCGTCACCCCGTCCTCGGCTTTCGCAACTGGAGGGGCTGAGCTAATGACACTTGCCTCGATGGCTTGAGTGTCGCCCTCAATGAGCTCGCTAACGGGCATGTTCATGTGGAATCTGGATCTGTCATTCATTGACGGGGTCAGCAGAGCCCTCATGTGGCATTCCACTACTTCTTAACCCACCTCCCGGCAGATGCTTGAGGCGTTTGATAGGCTCAGGTGGCTCGTTGGCCTCTCCTCGATATAGATTCTATGGGTTTGGCTCGAGGTTAGAATCGAACGAGAAAGGTCGAGGTGTCCCTGTCCGCTTCTGAGCGGGGTCGAGCAAGGCCGCTGGGGCTCATCTCGGTTTTTCTCCCTTGGCTCTGTTTGACGTGAGGCGGCCTCGAGCCCTTCACGGGTCGGCCTTCGAACCTCGGTCAGTTGCCGCTCATATCGAACGAGGCGACTGCCACTTCGTGACGCGACATGAGGCGTTGAGATGCAGCGATTGCATATGCAATGTTTCGATGTATGGGTTTAATGTACGATTTAATTAAAATGAAAGCGTGGGGTCGGTGATGTTACCTTGGTGGTATGAGCAACGAGAAGCTCTTACCGGACGTGTCGATGCGGGGTTCGGATCCGACGTTTGCGACGAGGCCGGCGTGACCTGCACGAGCATCGCAATTTTTCGTTTCTGTCTCTCGTCGGCGATCCGAGCTGTTCGATTGATTTAGGTGACCTGACAGCTTCTCCTTGAAGGAGGTTCTGCAGGAGGACCCCTCTGAACCCTTCTCAAGAAGGCAGATGCTAAAGCTTGGGGTGCGGATAACTGTGAATTCGATTATGCTGGTGAACAAAAACATCGTAGCCGCCGGGGCGTAGGGTCTAGCGGTTCGTCTAGTTTTACTCAAAGTTTTACACCCACACACCATGCCTCTGGTTTTA